CTTTATATGTTATTTATTTAATTTTTTTTAATTATAGTAATACATACATACATACATACATACATACATACATACATACATATATATATATATATATATATATATATATATATAGTTTTTACAACTATAAATTTTTTTATTATTTTTAAATAACTTGAAGTGATTTTTTTACTTATAAATAACTTTTCACATAGTGTAATATTTTTATTAATATTTCATAAAAACTAAATATATCTAAATATTTATACTTAAAAAAATTTAAATTAATATTTTTTTTACTTATATGTAGCTTTTACAATTATAAGAGAATGAGGGATTAATATCTTTTTTACCTATAAGTAGCTTTTAAAATTATAAATTTTTTTATTACTTTTAAATAACTTAAAGTACTTTTTTTACTTATAAGTCATTTTTTACATTCTAGATAGTGTAATTTTTTTATTAATATTTAATTTTAAAAACTAAATATATCTAAATATTTATACTTAAAAAAATTTAAGTTAATATTTTTTACTTATAAGTAACTTTTATAATAAGTTCGTTTTACTTTTAAATAACTTGAAGTGATATTTTTAGTTATGAGTAACTTTTTTACATTTTAGAAATAAATAATAACTATTATCTAAAAAATTATTTAAAAATATTATTACTAATAAAATTATAGGATATGATCCATAGTCGATAGTGTGAGAAAACAAAGAAAGAGTACTGTGCGTCAAATTCAAAGCATGTAAGTTGCAGATAAAATAAAAAGTAACGTCGTTTCTGTTCCACCAATTAAAAAAAAAGCTATAGTGTGACAAAATATTACTACTAATAAAATTATAGGATATGATTAATAGTTGATAGCGTGAGAAAATGAAGAAATAGTACTGTGTGTCAGATTAAAAGACCAAACCAGTTTCAAACCTATTTAATGTGAAAATCAATGTGACAAAAATAAAGAGTAAGATAATGAGGGATAATATAATAATAAAAATCAAATCACTTTGATCAAACCCATTTCAAACCAGTTGAATGTGAAAATGCATGTGACAAAAATAAACCGTCCAACTTTGAATTTGACACAAAATAGTTTTTCTCCATTTTTTCACGCTATCAACTATCAACCATATCCAATAATTTTATTAGTAGTAATATTTTGTCACACTGTAGTTTTTTTTTTTTTTTTTTTTAAATCAGTGGAGCAAACGACTTATTTTCTATTTTACCTGCAGCTTACATACTTTGAATCTGACCCACAATACTCTTTCTCAATTTTCTCAAGCTACTTATAGATAAAAAAAATATTAATCTCTCATTCTCTTATAATTGTAAAAGTCTCTTATAAGAAAAAAAATATTAACTTAAAATTTTTTGAGTATAAGTATTTAGATATGTTTAGTTTTTAAATTAAATATTAATAAAAATATTACACTATCTAGAATGTAAAAAATTACTTATAAGTAAAACATCACTTCAAGTTATTTAAAAGTAATACAAAAACTTATAATTGTAAAAACTACTTATTGATAAAAAAAATATTAACTTCAACATTTTAAAATAAATATTTAGATATATTTAATTTTTTAAAATTAAATATTAATTTTTTTTGATACAATTGGAAAAAAAAAACACATTATTTTCACATGATTTGTCTCCATGTACGAAGTGGTCATCACTCCGTGCACGAAGTTAACTTTTTTTTTTTTATTAATTATTCATCACTCAGTGCACGGATTTAGTTTTTTTTTATTAATATTTAATTTTAAAAATTAAATATATCTAAATATTTACTTAAAAATGTTAAAGTTAATATTTTTTTTATCTATAAGTAGCTTTTACAATTATAAGTTTTTGTTATTACTTTTAAATAATTTGAAATAATTTTTTTTACCTATAAGTAACTTTTGACATTCTAAATAGTGCAATCTCTTTATTAATATTTAATTTAAAAATTTAAATACATCTAAATATTTGTACTTAAAAAATTTGAAGTTATTTTTTTTACTTTTAAGTAACTTTTGTAATTATAAGTTCGTTTTACTTTTAAATAATTTGAAGTGATCTTTTTAGTTATAAGTAACTTTTTACATTTTAAAAATAAGGAATAACTTTTATGTAAAAAAATATTATCACTATAAAATGAACAGTAAACCTCACATTCTCTCATTTAAGATATGGAGGGATTTTTTAAAATTAAATATTTATTAATAGAAAATTATTATAAATAAAATTCAAAAAAATAAATTATCACCACTCCGTGCACGGAGTGTTATCACTATGTGCAAAAGGAGAGAACTCTCCTTTTAAAAAGTCGAAAGGAGAAAACTCTCATTTTGAAAACAGAGATTCTCCCTGTGGATGGAGAGATTCTCTCCGTCCACGGAGAGATTCTTTGTTTTTTTTTAAATTTTAATTAATTAAATAATATTTATGTATTATTTATTTAATTTTTGTAACTTTATTTAATTTATTTGTTTAATTTTGTTTAATAAAATAATATTTATACATTCCTTATGATTTAAAGATATTCGTTAAATTTGAATTAAATAATATTTTTTCTTTAAATCGTTTCAATTTAATTTAAAAACTTTATAATAATTTTTTTCTATTTTTATTTGAATTTTTTTAAATAAACTTTATATTTAATTTCGTTTCTTTATTATATATTATATGGTATTGCCTTTAATCAAGTGAAGTAGTGTGTGAAAATGGAGAAATATTGTAGTGGAGGTGACATCACAGTAGAACTGCGCGTGAAAATAATGTTACAGCGTCATTGAATAAAATAATTTACTGTTGTCAAATCAGTTTCAAACCAGTTTCGTGTGAAAACTTATGTGACAAAAATGAATAGTAAACCTTATATTCTCTCAATTAAAATAAAGAGGGATTATAAAAAGATAACGATCATTTTGTCTATATACTGTATATTTATCTGTGTTGGGATATCTTGTTGTGACCAAAATAGGCCAAACTCAATGGTCACGTTTTGCATACCGTGGTCAGACGGCCACAAACATCGCGATTGTTCCGCAGTCCAACACTTGCAAATTTCATTCTTTTATGCTTTGGCCCTATTTCAGGATCTTCTTCCATAAGAGTACGAAACAATAGTCTCATTGGGATAAAGTGGGGATTACAAAATTTTCTCCTAGTCCTAGAATTTTTTGGATCTTCAAAAAGATGACTTCATAGCGTTTGTTTTGGGTAGAAAATGTCATGAGTTCAAATCCTATCATCCCTACCTAGGGAAAAAGAATAACTGAAAGAAAGGAAATCAATTAGTTATTCGTCAAAGTTTCATAAGCAAAAATTAATTCATTAGATAGTTTGCTATACTCTCTCGTATTTGAAATTGCTTAAATTTCTCTAAAGGTTTCCAAGTCAAGCTACAAAAATAATTTTTTACTTATTTAATGCTCGATTGATGTGTGTGCACAGTCAGTCCAATCGTCATAAACTTCTAGGTTGGTTATATTTTGACCCTCAATGGTCAAAACATCTTAGAAAGTTCAATTTTAACTGCCTTCAGTTTATTGATAACTACTTGCAATTCATACTTTTGTGGTAACAACGGAGTGTTATCCAAAAATATAATGTTAAAATAGTTAGAAATTAAGAATTTGTTGGTGCCTTCTCGAATTTGTATTTATTGTCCAGTGCTTCCAAAATTTCATTGCCAACAATGTATTGGTATGTAGATCATATAATCGGTTGGAAAGTGCATTCAGAATATGAACCTGACATATCATATTTTCCTTGTCGATGATGTATTTTTATTCATCTTCTTGTCGTTTCTTTTGCTTGGTCCCCATTGCACTTGGTTCTGGTTTTGGGGCCAAATGAGGATCAAGTATGTAAATTATCTTCAAAGTTGTCAATAGAAAACTTTGATGTTGCCCTGTCAATGAAGTGAAGTTTGATCAAAATGGTCGAGCCTCACCAAATCTTTGATTAATAAATTTGATAGTAGCCATTGCATTACCATTCTCCATTTGGAAAAATATCGTTTGAGATTGTTGAAAAAAATAGATGAAGAGAAAACTAGAAATTCGAATGCTGGAAAAAACGAAACAAGATTTAAACATTTGAGAATGCTGTCGTAAAGTGATATTTGCCCCACTCGAATTTTGAGATTTATTATGGAGCAAATAACATTGAGGATACAAGCTTTTGAAAAATTCAAAACGACTTTAATGACACGATAAAATTCTGAATGTTTTCATGCTATGAAAGTTTGGAGTTTGTTATAGATGTTATTTCATGTTTAATTTCCATCTAACAACTTCAATTTATGTAGATGAACCACATTTTGGTTAAAGGGTCACAACTATAAAAAGTCTCAAAAACCATAAGTTTTGAACCAAATAATAGCCTAACGAGTCGACCGAGATTGTGGGTTTCTACTCTTGATCGCAGTGCGTCATTTCAAGGTTGCAGCTTCAAAACCCGAGACCTTGGGTCTGGCCTCTAAAAGACAATTTTGCCCTGGCCCTTGAATTTGGTTTCACTGTTTTTTTCATTTATTTTTCGTGACTTTCCCCCCTTGAAACATCCTAGTTCTCATTTTTCAATTTGAACAAATTACAGCTAATACTCTATGTAAGAGTTGTGCATAGTTACGAACCTCCCATATTAGGTGCATATTTGGTTCTGATTTTTCACCCCAAAAAATAAATTTTTTGATTGTTTCTTCACTAAGTTAGTCGTCATTTTCTATTTCTTCTTTTATTGGTGGGATCCATTTTTCTCTAATGATCAAAAAATTAATTCTTATAATCACTATCGAACAAATCCTAGATATTTTCACATGCAGACTTGATGACATAAATGCATAAACATAAAATAATTGAGGTAAAAAAATGGAACTACGAAAGACTGCAAATGAAATATTTTTCGTATTTTTTTAACTTAAGTATTTTATTTTTTAATTTTTATTTTTTTGGGGTTTGGTGACGTTTGTTTTACTGTAACGTGCGCTGACTTCCGAAGTACAAAAATGAATCCTTTTAAAAATACCATTATCACCACAAACTACCGGCGTATTTGCTTAGCGCTTGCAATCCAAGCATCTCTAAGATTCTGATTCAAAATTGGAATCGGAATCGTAATTGAAGTGGGTAAATTCGCTGTTGCATTTCCAGTTCAATGCCGGCAAACCAACACAGACCTCTTCGAGGAGGAATCTTTTCATGGTGGCGTCAATGGTCCAACAGAGAGTCAACAATCGCCGCCGTCATACTCGCCGTGCTCCTCCTCACCTTCACCCTCTCTATCATCTCGGACTCACGTACAAATACAAACCCAATTTCAAACACAGATACAGTTTCAGAGTGGGTGCCCTTCACCCCTTTAAGCAAAGCTCAACAAAATACCGCCTGTAGCTATACCTCTCTCTCTGTCTTGTTTTGCTTCTGCTGATCGATAACTATTTGTATAGACCTATATTCAAATTTATGTGGACTTGTTGCAGTTTGTTTGGACGGAAGCGTACCTGGGTATCATATGCAGAGGGGATTTGGATCTGGATCTGACAGTTGGCTTCTTCACATTGAGGTTTTCTGTTTACCACTTCTTTATGACCCTTAGACTGTGATTCTTTTTGGTTATTGCATGCATTTTTATTTAGATGGATTTGATGGCTATGTATTGTACATGATGATTGATGATAATTGATGTACTTATTTGTCATGGTTTCATTGAGGTGTATGGGCACCTGAATCCCACATCGGAAGTATGGACTTCCTTTGTGAGATTTATATGGCTTGAGCTAGTTTTGGGGTCTGGCACTTTCAAGTTATACGACAATGGTATCAGAGCAGACGCCATATTTTCTGGTCTTGGTCACCACTTATGGTGTACGGGCACCTGCTCAACGTGGATGTCGAGTTGAAAGCGTGGTGGTTTGTCATGGTTTTTATTAGGGTGTATGGGAACCTGAATCCCACATCGTTGGAAGTATGGGCTTCCTTTATGCGGTTTATATAGGTTTGGGTTCGTCAATTTCAATGGCTAACTTCTGGGGTCTTGCTCTTTCAAGTTCTATGACATGCCAATGCAGTATCACCAATCTTTAGTACAATTACTATTATTAGTGAAAATATATGTGTATTTGGTCGAGTTTGATTTTCTGTGTGATGATTGAAGTGCTTTCTCTGTTAATAAGAAGAATAGGGGTGCTTTCTCTGTTTATAAAAATTATATGTACCCTCAAATGTAAAAGAATTTTGAACAATCTGGCATTGAACTACATGTTTAAGTTCCTACCCTATCTGTGTATTAGTTGTAATGTAGCCGGTGTTTATATGCTGCAATTCTGCAAGTACTTGTGCAAGATTTTCTTTTCTAATTGGTGTTGGAGATAATTTATTTTATTTATTTTTGGTATATTTGTAGGGTGGAGGATGGTGCAATACCATATCATCGTGTTCTTCTCGAAAGAGAACAGCATTAGGTTCGTCCAAATATATGGACCATCAAGTTCAGTTTTCTGGACTTTTGAGCTGCAACCCACTCCAAAATCCTGGTACATTGTTCTAACTTTTGCCCATACTTACCATTTAAGAAATTTCATCAACACTGTATCCTGAGTTTCACATTTTTCACTATGGCTTTTATGTGTTTCTGAACACTATATTCTGCAAGGCTTTTGGTTGAATTGTGGTGTTCTTGTTATGCTTTTTATGCTCTTTTCCCCATTCTAAATTTATTCATTTTCCTGACTTGGAGTTCCGCAATTTCGTACTTGTTTTTATACATGCTAAGCCACAGTAGTAAAGATTACGTGACCATGCGTTCTGTGCATATGTACTGCCTTAAAATCCATTAGTTAAATACTGGGGTCTAATTTCTGTACCTACTTGTGCTTGCTGAGGATTCAATCCTCTCAATGTCATATACAATTTGTTTGATGAAGATTTACTTTAATATATCGATCATTTTTCATTCAGATTTTTTCAACTGGAACCGGGTAAAGATACGATATTGCGATGGAGCATCCTTTTCTGGGCACCCTGAGAGTGAGTTTAAAGTGAGTTTGCAGCACATTTTACTGCCTTTTGGAAATTATGGAAAATATTATAGATCTTTCTAGCATCAAAAGGAAATATGTGAAGACTGTATATCATTAAATAAGTATATATGTATCGTGCTTTTTTCTATACCAGAATGGAACAAAGCTTTTCTTTCGAGGCCAGCTTATCTGGAACACACTTATGGACGAGCTCTTAACAATAGGAATGTCTACTGCTAAACAGGTACTTACTTTGACTTTTCTCTTTACATTTTCTTTTTCTGTGGCTAAAGGGTCTTTATCAACCAGAACTTAGTACAATACTTTGCTTGAAGTTTTATTCTTGTTGAGCTAAAAATTATTTGGCTTGTATATAAATTTGTTGTCAAAATTCTATAGTTGCTTTAGGCATGGATTCTTCTGGGTGAATAAATTTCTGTTGTGCCTTATAGAAATGCCATTTCCGGATTCCTTAGTCACTGTAGCACTAAATTATGACTTGATATTTAACTGCTCCCCAAGCGTCCATTTCTCTCATTTTTCCTTCATATAGTTACCAAAATAGATTGAATTATTACTTGCTGGTTTGGCCTCAGTGCCAAGATGCTTCCGTCAGTAAATTCATCTATTCAAATAGAGTCAAATTATATTTTTGTCCTGCGAAGATGTATGGGATTATTGTTTCTTTTTGTTAAGGGTCATGCCGCCTTCAAATTACAAAATTGCAGGTTCTTATAGATGCTTTGTATAACTTTACAGGCCCTTCTTACAGGATGCTCTGCAGGTGGTTTGGCCACTCTCATACATTGTGATGACTTTCGAGAGATTATGCCAAAAGATGCTAATGTCAAGTGTCTAGCTGATGCAGGTTTTTTCCTCAACAAGTATGTGTTTTGCACTATTTTATGAATTTTTTTTTCCTGATTGTACTTGTTTTTGTTGGGACCGCCACTTTTTAACTTTCCTCTGACTCTACAAAGAGTTCTTTGCTAAAGTGTATACAAAGATGGCCTACCTTTTCACAGGATGGGAGGTTCATCTCCAATGGAAGTTTCTATATACAAGCTCATATATTGCAAATTTCCCATTGCTCCTGTCATATTTGTCTTTGAACACTTTTCCTTCTTGCACAGTTTCCCTTCTCATGGTCTTAAAATCTTTTCTGCTATATGAACATAAAATCAATAAGGCTGTAATTTCATGGCCTGCTTTATATGTGTTATATGCGAGGTAGAGAGCAAGATATTTTGTGAGACTATGTTTGGGTGAGAGCTTGTTTGTTTAATTTATAATCAGAAAACTTTGAAACCCACAAACTTTGACAAAAGAATTAAAAAAACAAGTTTTGGATTGAGAACTTCATCTGGGACACCTTTATTCCAAAAACCTAAATTGACCATTTGTATCCCATCATTCCATCTCAACATGGATCTTATATATTTCTGGATTAATATTTTCGTCAGTTATGATGTCAAGATAATGTAGCCAAAGGATGTTTGAAGTTTATCAGGTTTGATTTTCAGATCATTTCCTTTAAGACAGACTAAAAATTTTGCTTCTATGGTCAATTTCAGGAAGGATATTGCCGGAAATCACACCATAGAATTCTTTTATCGCGATGTTGTGCATCTCCAGGTTGCGCCTAAAACTTTATGAGCTTTGATTTTGTATGTGCATGGGCTATTTGTTGTCACTTTGTAATTCTTAGCACTCCCTTTCCCAAGAATAACATTAGAAGCAATGTCTAGAACCGAGCGTCCAGCCTTGTAGGAAGACTCACCCCAGCCACTTTAGCTGTTAATCTATTTTCTTAAACACATTTTGGCCCTTCTTTTGTGAAGTATTTGATAGAAACCTGACTCTTGAAGCAAATCAATGAAAAACTTAATGTTATATTGATATTCAACAGAAATAAAATGACAATTTTCAAGGCATTCGAGAGGCCTGGACACCAATTTGATAGAAACCTGGCTCTTGAAGCAAATCAATGAAAAACTTAATGTTATATTGATATTCAATAGAAATAAAATGACAATTTCCAAGGCATTCGAGAGGCCTGGACACCAATTTGATAGAAACCTGGCTCTTGAAGCAAATCAATGAAAAACTTAATGTTATATTGATATTCAATAGAAATAAAATGACAATTTCCAAGGCATTCGAGAGGCCTGGACACCAATTTGATAGAAACCTGGCTCTTGAAGCAAATCAATGAAAAACTTAATGTTATATTGATATTCAATAGAAATAAAATGACAATTTCCAAGGCATTCGAGAGGCCTGGACACCAATTTGATAGAAACCTGGCTCTTGAAGCAAATCAATGAAAAACTTAATGTTATATTGATATTCAATAGAAATAAAATGACAATTTCCAAGGCATTCGAGAGGCCTGGACACCAATTTGATAGAAACCTGGCTCTTGAAGCAAATCAATGAAAAACTTAATGTTATATTGATATTCAATAGAAATAAAATGACAATTTCCAAGGCATTCGAGAGGCCTGGACTCTCCCAATTTTCCCACTATTTTCCTTGATCCATATCATTGCTCCCCCCTTATTATATTTATAGAGACTCTACCAACTTTCTATCACATTTTTACCCTTTTGCTAACCAACTAAGGAATATTCTAGAATAGCAAATAAATAACAACTTACATTGAATGTGAGGGTATCACTACTTGCCCCTCCGAAATCCACCTTGTCCTCAAGGTGGAAGTTGTTGCGTCTTCATCATACAACCCCACAAATTCTTCTGTAAGAAATCCAGTTAAGGTCACCACTTAAAGGGGACATTTTCACCCTTTGAAGTGAAAGGACTTATTCAGTTGAGCAACAATCACAAGTATAATATCCAAGGCAACTCCATAGCCAGTTGCCCCTACCCTTAGAATCTTATTAGAAGGTTTTCCTTTACTTGAATCTGAGTTCCAGTACTTCCAGTTTATCAATTTGATTTCAGATTTTTTAAAAGAATTTTCCCTCTTGCATTGTTTCTTAGACTCAGGGATTTTATCAAACACAACATATTCATCAGGAATGGGTTCACTAAATTCACCCAACTCCAAGTCTGAATGTTCCCTTCGGAATATTTTGCCTCGATAGTTCATCAAAGGTCTGTGAGTAAAATTAGTAATGCCAACCGTGGGAGAATGCCCCATGAACCCATGCTCCTTTATCTTCCCTACAATTTCATTCTTGCTGTGACGAAATTCAGTCATTCTTCTCCAATACCTGCAGAAAAATTGATTGGTTTTTTTCTCACCAACGAAACCATCTTCCATTTTTGCTGCTCTTTTACTCTTATCTTTCTGAAGCTTAAGACCTTTGCTAGTTTGGCAGTTTCTTTTACAGTACTCATTGCCACGACCCAATTTCTCAACATGTTTGCCTGACTGATCTTCTCCAGACGGGACCTTAGTGTGTCCGCCAACAGCCTGTATAAGCATTTTATTTATAGTATTGTGAATTGGGCCTACTTCTCCGTGGACTTGTTTTGATTGTAAGTTGTCTTCTACAGATTGGGCCATACCCACAACCAAGCCCACATGTTTTTTAAAATAAATTGCAGCCCTAGCTTCAAGCCCATCGACAAAAATCTCTTCCTTCTGCTGCATCGTTGTCTTCCTCGTCTCTTCCTTCAGCCCATCCAAAGGTATCCCTTGCACAACATACTCCAGCTTATTCTTCTCTTCCGATAGTTGCGATTGAAACACCGGTTCTTTGCCGCTGACGGAAGGACAGATTCCGATCAGGCTTTCGAGCAACTTCCGATCGCGATTATCCACTGGCCAAGTCTCTTCTCTGCCCTTCTTACCTTCAGTACTCACGCTTGCCTCATCAGACTTGATTGGAATTTCAGAACCGAAAGTATGCTCCGGTGAGTTCTTTCCCATGGACGGACGAAATCTGGCTATCATTCCCTCTTTCAATTCCCTCCAAGTTTGCACGGGTCGATGATGATCTAGCCATTGAAACCACTCCCAAGCTTCACCGTCCAAACATGCCGTAGCGGCTTCCACCTTTTCCCTCTTCGACAATTGATTCCTTGCGAAAATCTCCTCTGCTTTCCATAGCCACCAATTTGGATTTCCATCGTAGAATATTGATATGTTTAGTCAACCTAGCGAATCCAATCCCGAATCGTTTGCTCGGTCTCCTCCTCGTTGCAACATTATGTGATCAAATCGCTTGAATAGCGAGCTCCATTTTTCCTCCAATTCCTCGCTGAATTTTGTTTCCATCTTCCTAGAATCGAGTGCTCTGATACCAATTTGATAGAAACCTGACTCTTGAAGCAAATCAATGAAAAACTTAATGTTATATTGATATTCAACAGAAATAAAATGACAATTTTCAAGGTATTCGAGAGGCCTGGACACCAATTTGATAGACACCTAACTCTTGAAGCAAATCAATGAAAAACTTTTAATGTTATATTGATATTCAACATAAATAAAATGACAATTTCCAAGGCATTCGAGAGGCCTGGACTCTCCCAATTTTCCCACTATTTTCCTCGATCCATATCACGGCTCCCCCCTTATTATATTTATAGACTCTTACCAACTTTCTATCACATTTTTACCCTTTTGCTAACCAGCTAAGGAATATTCTAGAATATCAAATGAATAAAATCTATTACGACTTGCACATAGCTTAGGTATATTAATAAAAATAATTTACTATCCCTTCATGCTCTTCCAATGAAATTGCAATCAAATATAACTTAGTCATTCAAATACGATAACTTTTGGCAAACTTACAAGATGTTTCTTATCATAATGCAAGAAAATAATATTTCAACTTTCCCACTTGCTTGTGGAGTTGAGTGTATAACACTGTTCAACCTTGTCCGAGAAGTGTTAAAGATGTGCAAAGGTTTGTTCTTATTTTTATTTTGGACTTGTCTGGTCAAGGGATTTAACGGTGTGTGTCTAAGGGTGTCAGCATTTGTCCCCCTGTTCAACATGGGCTAACAGGCCTATAAAACAAAGCACATATAACATGGTAACTTATATTTCATGTCCTGGGCATGAATTGTTTGTGTATTATAGTGTCCGAAATATCTCGTCCCATGACCAAGGGTGCAGATACGTGGTAAAATGTTGGATTTATTTTTTATTTTTTATTATTTGGGACAGGGTACTAACTACTAATATGACTTCTAAATTTGGTAATAATCTATTTCTAGTGACATTAGCTCAAATGGTTTATGGTTTAGGACAATATAAAGCTCAATGTGAAATCTCTCAAGCTTCACCAATATTTTAGCTTCTATGTTGTTTAACATCAGAACGTGACAAAAATTCTGTAGCAGCTGGTATATTTATTGGCTAAAAAATTCCCTTTCATGAAAGTCTTGGGAGTGTTGGAGAGTGTGTTCGAATCTTATCGGAAAACATGTAACTTCTTGTTAGATTGTCGTTGGAGATGATCTTATAGCCAAATTTCTATATTGAAATCCTTATAAAACTGCAGAAAGATAATGGTAACATACAAAAAATGCATTTATATATCAATAGAGACATTGAATTCCACTTCTAAAATCAATAGATCTCTCGAAATACTCTTTTTTTCTAGCCCCATTAGTTAAATGATTTGTGACTTGGGGGGTCAAACATAAAGCTTACTGTGAAATCTTCTTTTTGTAGGTCTTCATTAGCCTTTCTAGTGTATGTAGTATGTACTGAGCACATGGAAACAACCATGAACACTACTGCTATAATTATTTGTATTTATCATTATAGTGATTCTGGAAGTAGACATGATTTAAAAAGTTCATTTCCTCAATTGTACAAAATAAGTAGCTTCCTGTATTGCAAAAATTGCCATGATTTTTAGTAAAGAGAAAACCGCCTTGCTATGAAATAATGTATTGATCCTGCCACGAAATACTTTTTTTTGAGTGACTTCTGTGAAGGGTCATTTATTATTTATTTATTTATTATTGTTATTATTATTATTATTTTTTGTGTGTGGGTGGGTGGGCTTTCTGAAAGTACCTCATTGCTATGCTCCCCATTTTCCTTTTCCATTTGGTTCGACATTTCTTGCAAGACCATATGGTAATTACTTCTAGAGCCTTTATATATCTTGAAAGTATAACCATCTGTGAATGATTATTGATGTTACATGCTAAACTATCACGATTCCAGGGTGTATCAAGAAGTTTAAACAAGGAATGTGTTGCTAGATCAGAACCTTCTAAGGTGCGTTTTTTGTTCTTTAAATAAATCAGGAAATGTTTCTTCCCATTTCCTATGACATTAGGCATGGCAATGTGCTTTCCTTCTTTGTTGTTCAGTTGATTACCTAACTTGCATTTACCGTGTTGACAGTGTTTCTTTCCTCAAGAATTTATAAAAAGTATAAAGACCCCAGTTTTCCTTGTCAACCCAGCATATGATTTTTGGCAGGTAATTTCCTTTTTCCCACTGTACACCTTAAATGTTGTTTCTCGTCTTTTTTTCAAGTATGTTTATAGGAGTGGATCTTTCTCTTTTTTCCCCCCCCCCCCCTTAGATAAGAAATATTTTGGTACCTGATGCATCAGATCCTAATGAAAGCTGGCGTCGATGCAGGCTAAACATACACAATTGTAATCCCGAACTGCTTGAAGTGTTGCAAGGTACTGTAATGTACCAGCATAACTAACTGTATCTAACACTTTCTGACTGGATTTTCATGAGAGTAGTATGGAAGAGGAACCTAACTTAATAGTGGGCAAGACCGTGTTGACAGTGTTTCTTTCCTCAAGAATTTATAAAAAGTATAAAGACCCCAGTTTTCCTTGTCAACCCAGCATATGATTTTTGGCAGGTAATTTCCTTTTTCCCACTGTACACCTTAAATGTTGTTTCTCGTCTTTTTTTCAAGTATGTTTATAGGAGTGGATCTTTCTCTTTTTTCCCCCCCCCCTCCTTCAGATAAGAAATATTTTGGTACCTGATGCATCAGATCCTAATGAAAGCTGGCGTCGATGCAGGCTAAACATACACAATTGTAATCCCGAACTGCTTGAAGTGTTGCAAGGTACTGTAATGTACCAGCATAACTAACTGTATCTAACACTTTCTGACTGGATTTTCATGAGAGTAGTATGGAAGAGGAACCTAACTTAATAGTGGGCAAGAAAGCAGGAGCATAGTGTCCAAAGAAAAAATTGTTAAACTAACATCCATTTAGGCCATTATTTGGGAAAAACAATGTTTTGAATAGTGAATTTTTGGAGGATGTGTGATTTAAAAAGTAAGGAAAAAATTTTGGGTTTATGCGCAGAATATTTATTATGTGAATGTTGGTTGAAAATGAGTAAGTAGAGAAAAAAGTTATGAAAAAATGCCCTTCAAACATGAGCTTAAGAGCATTCTAGAGTAAGAGCTAGAACAGGAGCAAGTGAGCTAATGCTGGAGAGATTTACGTGATTTAGAGTGTAGTCAAGGGAGAACTGAATCTTTTAAAACCACTATCCTGCCTTCATTGATGGAAATTAGGGGTTTCTGAGTGCAGCTAGCTTATCACAAATGTCATTAATTTCTATATTCCATTGACATGAGATGGGAAGAAATGGTCAAACATTCTGTATTTGTGCCTGACTGATGCATTTTCTTGCACAGGGTTTAGAAATGCATTGCTCAAGACACTCATTGAATTTCAACAAAATGAGGAAGCAGGGATGTTTATAAATTCATGTTTTGTTCACTGCCAAACATGGATCGCCGAGACATGGCATTCACCCAGTTCTCCCAGAATCAACAACAAAGTTAGTTATATTTTCTTTTTATTCCAGTAAAGATCAGTTGAAGTTCTTAATTTGAGATGATAAAATATTCATAAGAATGCTAAAAGATGTCCCTCCAGGAGTCAAAAGAGCCAAGCTGAGTATTCGGCTTCAGCATGAGCTCTAACAATAAATACTGCTAATGCTTGAAGTCAGTTCAAAGCTGAAAATATAGCTCAAGCTGGACACGAGCGCACAACTTTTTTTCCATTTTGAATGCTCCCTGTGGCTGATACAAACTTTAAATTAGTTTACTCATGCTCCAGCCAATGCCCAATTGGACATCCTGATACCCATACCATGTCAGCCCAGTTCGAGCCTTGACTGAGTGAGTACTCGAGGCATCTCAAACTCAACAAAAAGCTCATTCAAGTACTTGAGCCCAGCTTAAGCCAAGTGCAAAATAGATCATGAGATAGCCAGTTTATTAGCTCCCTAATTCCTCCTCTTTGCAGGTGGAAACGCACGTGTTTTTTGGTCTATGTGATTCACTTTGATAAATGTCGAACATTATATATAGCTGTCCGAATTTATAAAATTTGAACACTGTTTTAGAACTACACTAGTTATTGTCTCTTATGAATCTCCTATTTTTATTGCAAAAGAATTAACTGTTTGTTCCTGCTTGTAAAACAGACGATTGCAGAATCTGTGGGTGATTGGTACTTCAACCGAAAAACAGCAAAGCATATTGATTGTCCCTTTCCTTGCAATCCCACTTGCTATAATTTGGATTTTGGTCAAGGGTGATACATTTTAGCTTGCTTTGGGCTCACTAAAATCATTTTTCTTCTCCTTCGACAATTGTCATACTATCTTTTACACTCCCAAGATTAAATTGAAGAATATGGCAAGGTAATATCCTTCTGCTCGTTATAGAATGTACGCACAAGATTGAATCACATTGCAAAATTCTTCTATCCTGCATTTATGCACTTGAGTTTTCTTACTGCTAGTCTAAAATATGGTAATTCAGTGTCCCTATCCAGTACACTTGACCAAATAATATCAATGTTGATCTCATGTTGTCTTTTAACATGGCTGTATTGTATACTTCCTGATGAAGACCGTTCCTTCTGGTGGTCATATTTCAACCCCTTTGTGTAGGACAACGTAGAATTTGTGTATGTCCACAAGAACTAAATGTGTAATAACAATGAAATGGTGATGATCTTGTTTATTTTTAAATTTAGGGATCAACTTACAATGCGAGCAATAAATTAGAGACTAGAACTATTTTTCATCGGAGCAGTATTTGAAACCTATAAATTTCATGGGTTATAATCCTTGCGTGATAATCCTAAATCATCGAGCACACTTATCATATTAAAGGTTTTAAAGCTGTGCTGGAGAAGCAATTGCTTGAAGAATGGTAAACTTTTATTCTAGAAATGTTGTATGTTTCAAATTTAACATTTTTCGGTAAACAAAAGGGATTATTATTATTATAATTATTTAAGCTTGTATACAATTATTAAATGGATATTAATTAGATGATATTCATTTGCATCATCATCATAATATTATCAAATATTTTCGAAGACAAACATGTATCGTCGATGTGATTTTAAAAGTTACTATTTTGTTGCTTTTCAAAATTTTCGAACGGACAGTATAAATTTTGGGAATAATACATAACTTCTACATGTAAGAATTACATTTCAAAATTTACAAAATTTGTCAAATTATTTCAAAATTCAGGTGCTAATATATCCCAATTCCCAGCCATCTTACACCGTCCACCTAGCCCCACTTGAACATTTCCAGAAATTGAATTTTGTTTGGGAGATTACTCCTCACCCCACCTCAAGGTAGAAGGTTTTCTAGAAACTGAATATGATTTCTTTCACCCCACCCCACCCCACCCTTATATGTAGAAAAATCTCCAGAAATTTTGGTAGTGGTAGTTGTGTATTATAAGTGACAAGATTTGTGATTAACTATAGTATCTGTAATTAGATTTATTGTTTGTAACTATATTGATGTTGTTTCACTAAGATTTGTGATTATATGTAACCAAGTAACTAACCTATGTTATATGTAACTAATTGTGACCAAAATTTATCTTCTATTTGATTGTTTGTGATCATTTAATTATGATTGTATTAGACCAGGTCACAAACTTGTTCTATCTGTGATTAATCGTGACCAAATTTGCTTTTAGTGTGATTAACTATGATCAATTTTGTGTTCAAGTGACTATATATCGTCAGGTCAGTCTTAACTGTGATAATGTGATCAAGTTATAATCGATCACAATTAACATAGAATAGGTGGTAATCAGTCACAATAAGCAAATACTTGATCACGCCTATTTTTAGTTGCTATCAGCACTCCACCAATAACACCATTACCAACATCGTCGAGAAAGAAATGCATGCCACCTCATCACGACCACCTGTATTGCCATCAATAAAACCATTGAAGTCTACACTACTGCCAACAACTGAACTACCATACAGATCAAAAAATAATCGTCATCATATTCAAAATGTCAACAACCATCCCAAAAATTTGGATAAACAACAAATTCACAACCATCCACGGTAGATCCATAAACTACCACCTCACACAGATCACATCACTAGCACCTCCTTACCATAACCTACAATTGAACACACTAATACCAGGAAGCAGTGCTGCCCCTACGCACGTTCGCATGCATAAATAGCGATTGGGTGCCGTTGCTTCTTCAAAAAGATCGAAATGGTATCTTCGTGAAACGAAAAAATCAACCTTGCTCATAGCAACGTTGTCAACGTGATGAAGTGCTGCAAGCAACGACAAGCGCTTTCGCGACATCGGCCCGACGAGAAGCTTCGCCTCATTTGGTGATGCTAGAGATGGGTGAGGGGTGGGTGCAGAGGCGGAGATAGAACAGCCCAGCAATGCTCCCCAGCCCATATAAATAATATTAGCCCAAATATTAATATTAATATTAGCCCAGCTTTTAGAAGAATTGTAGACTTTTGGCCCAAAATATTAATATTAGTCCAGCTATAGTTTAAATTTCAATCTAACTCCACTGCTCAATTATTCAAATTGTATTAAAGACACTACAATTATTAATTACTCTTTTCATGGCATTCATGAAATGTAAATATTTTATTGTCAAATTAGATATTCTATTTAATGCATGTTTGACTAAAATTTACTTATAATTATTAAGTAAATTTTATCATAGATAATATGTATTGATTAGATCTAAAAGTAAATTACTTATTTTAATAGATAGAGACACTACATATTTTTCTAAATTTAAAAATAATTAATTTTTTTTATTACTGCGTATGTTTTTATTTGTTACTAATTCATATTTATAAAAAAAAAAAAAAAACTTATTTTGACCATAAAATAGGTATTATGATCAAAATAAATAATTTACTGTAAATTTGATATTGACAACCAAAAGAATATTTGTGAAAATTTTCAATTGTTTGGAAAGACTGATTGTTAAAGTTACTAGAAGAGTACTTGTTGAATAATTGCTTAAATTTTTGTTGGTTGATATGTATTTTTGCTTATTTCTATTATAATTTGGTTAGTTTATATTTTTTAAAGTAAGTGTTGATTTTCTATTCTATAAAAAAATACAAAAATTTAGTGGAATATCTTAATGTGAGATATCTTTTTTTTTTTTTTTTTTTATTATTTCATTGAGCGTCGTATACTTTTTATTGTAAATGCTATGGAAATAGCTTTCGAAACTCGATTTCTTGTGGAGTAAGTTCATTAAAAAAAATTTATGTTTCAGTCCATCCTAACATCATTTTCTGGCTCCGCCTCTGGGTGGGTGCTTAAAGGTAGAGTGGTGAAGGGATGAGATGGACTAACGGATGAGTGAGGACAGCGATAGAAAAAGAAGGAGAGGTAGGACGGGTGGCTGGGCGGTAGAGAGAGAAGGGATGGAAAAAATGATAGGATTTGGAAATGAAGTTGTTACATTTAATTAAATTTTTGTTAATTACAATTAATAATTCTATTTATTACCTGAGATCTAAATTTTAAACTTAACACTCTTGTTTATGAAAACTAATCTCTGACAGTTAAGCTTGGTCAATACCAAATGGGCTTAACATGACCAAAATAATTAGATGTTTAGAAATTGTTTATAACTGATTTAAATTATAAATATATAAATATTAGTAGTTGGTAAGTGAATAATACTTGTAGATTTGTATAGACAAAAAGGACTTGAATTTTTATAAATAATTTAATTAACATGGGCCAAACATAGGTAAAATTAGCTTATAGGGCGTTGTTGAATTTATTGACTTTTTCAAGTATCAATCTTTTTACTTACGCTTAAAATACTTGAAAAGGGTATTAGGACATTGAGAAAGGCAAAGAAACTGTTTTATGTTATACAAAATGAGAAAGAGCTTCAAAGCCCTTTTTTTTTTCAAATAATATAATTTCTCTAAAGTGGGAATAAACACAATTCACATTTTGACGTTCTCAGTGGGTATGCTATTGGAATTAATTTATTTGTATCAAATGTCTTACCTAATTTTTGATCGAATTGACAAGTGGTGTCCCCCTATTGGAGGGGCGCCTGTCCACTCCAATAAGGGCACGACACTTGTCAATTCGATCATCCATTTAGTAAATGATTTGGTACATATAGCATCTTCCATGCTATTAAGGCTTACATTCAGTAGCCATAAAAGCTACAAACATAAATTTTTTGGTTTCTTCGAATATTTCTGCAAGTTTCCATTTTAAGGTATCGTAACAAATATCATGCAACTTAATTGCAAGTTCATCAACAAAAATTAAAAAGCATACTTTTTGAAAAGTATATTTCAGTTAGAACTCACATGTTCGTTTGAATTCTAATTTTGAAAAATTATTTTATGTCTTCAAACTTGAGTCGAGTCTCAATCTACAACAATAGGATCGACATACTCACGCATGAACCCTGTTTATTTTTAAATCAGTTTTTGAGTCCAGATTTTATTTTTTGAATTTTTATGTTGTCTGCCTAAATTCAATGCATAATTTATACGATAAATTCATTCATAAACACATTAAAAAATTTTTAATTGAAAATATACCCTGGGAAAGCCTCATGGCCTAGAGGTCGGCGCAACACTAATGACATTTGTTAATATGCCTCTTTTGCTAATGAGTTCGGTCAAGGTTATTCAAATTGTATTAAAGACACTACAATTATTAATTACTCTTTTCATGGCATTCATGAAATGTAAATATTTTATTGTCAAATTAGATATTCTATTTAATGCATGTTTGACTAAAATTTACTTATAATTATTAAGTAAATTTTATCATAGATAATATGTATTGATTAGATCTAAAAGTAAATTACTTATTTTAATAGATAGAGACACTACATATTTTTCTAAATTTAAAAATAATTAATTTTTTTTATTACTGCGTATGTTTTTATTTGTTACTAATTCATATTTATAAAAAAAAAAAAAAAACTTATTTTGACCATAAAATAGGTATTATGATCAAAATAAATAATTTACTGTAAATTTGATATTGACAACCAAAAGAATATTTGTGAAAATTTTCAATTGTTTGGAAAGACTGATTGTTAAAGTTACTAGAAGAGTACTTGTTGAATAATTGCTTAAATTTTTGTTGGTTGATATGTATTTTTGCTTATTTCTATTATAATTTGGTTAGTTTATATTTTTTAAAGTAAGTGTTGATTTTCTATTCTATAAAAAAATACAAAAATTTAGTGGAATATCTTAATGTGAGATATCTTTTTTTTTTTTTTTTTTATTATTTCATTGAGCGTCGTATACTTTTTATTGTAAATGCTATGGAAATAGCTTTCGAAACTCGATTTCTTGTGGAGTAAGTTCATTAAAAAAAATTTATGTTTCAGTCCATCCTAACATCATTTTCTGGCTCCGCCTCTGGGTGGGTGCTTAAAGGTAGAGTGGTGAAGGGATGAGATGGACTAACGGATGAGTGAGGACAGCGATAGAAAAAGAAGGAGAGGTAGGACGGGTGGCTGGGCGGTAGAGAGAGAAGGGATGGAAAAAATGATAGGATTTGGAAATGAAGTTGTTACATTTAATTAAATTTTTGTTAATTACAATTAATAATTCTATTTATTACCTGAGATCTAAATTTTAAACTTAACACTCTTGTTTATGAAAACTAATCTCTGACAGTTAAGCTTGGTCAATACCAAATGGGCTTAACATGACCAAAATAATTAGATGTTTAGAAATTGTTTATAACTGATTTAAATTATAAATATATAAATATTAGTAGTTGGTAAGTGAATAATACTTGTAGATTTGTATAGACAAAAAGGACTTGAATTTTTATAAATAATTTAATTAACATGGGCCAAACATAGGTAAAATTAGCTTATAGGGCGTTGTTGAATTTATTGACTTTTTCAAGTATCAATCTTTTTACTTACGCTTAAAATACTTGAAAAGGGTATTAGGACATTGAGAAAGGCAAAGAAACTGTTTTATGTTATACAAAATGAGAAAGAGCTTCAAAGCCCTTTTTTTTTTCAAATAATATAATTTCTCTAAAGTGGGAATAAACACAATTCACATTTTGACGTTCTCAGTGGGTATGCTATTGGAATTAATTTATTTGTATCAAATGTTACCTAATTTTTGATCGAATTGACAAGTGGTGTCCCCCTATTGGAGGGGCGCCTGTCCACTCCAATAAGGGCACGACACTTGTCAATTCGATCATCCATTTAGTAAATGATTTGGTACATATAGCATCTTCCATGCTATTAAGGCTTACATTCAGTAGCCATAAAAGCTACAAACATAAATTTTTTGGTTTCTTCGAATATTTCTGCAAGTTTCCATTTTAAGGTATCGTAACAAATATCATGCAACTTAATTGCAAGTTCATCAACAAAAATTAAAAAGCATACTTTTTGAAAAGTATATTTCAGTTAGAACTCACATGTTCGTTTGAATTCTAATTTTGAAAAATTATTTTATGTCTTCAAACTTGAGTCGAGTCTCAATCTACAACAATAGGATCGATATACTCACGCATGAACCCTGTTTATTTTTAAATCAGTTTTTGAGTCCAGATTTTATTTTTTGAATTTTTATGTTGTCTGCCTAAATTCAATGCATAATTTATACGATAAATTCATTCATAAACACATTAAAAAAAATTTAATTGAAAATATACCCTGGGAAAGCCTCATGGCCTAGAGGTCGGCGCAACACGAATGACATTTGTTAATATGCCTCTTTTTCTAATGAGTTCGGTCAAGAGAGCGATGAAGGGAGACCGAATGCTTGCTTCTTAATTTTTTACATTTATTTTCTAATACACGGTTAATTATTATGCAATTTGTTCATTTTATCAATATCGATATCGCAACTAAATTTTTAAAATTGTGTTGCATTTGTAAAACTCTATCTTCTCTCGTTGCTACTGGTACTCTCACTTGTAATATATATTGTTTCGCTATTGTCGTCAACACCGTCACAGTAACCATTTGTAACGTACATTATTATACTGTTACTATAGTCATTGTCATTAACATTTGTAACATACCTAGTTACACTATTAATGCCACCGCCGTTACAACTACTCGTAACATACTATGTTACATTTACCTAAGGTCACATTCTAAATGCACTTTCGGAACAACTACATGATTCTCTATAAAAGAGATTACCGGTAACAATTTTAAGAATTTAGTAAATGAGAGGAATAATTCAGCGACCATTTACCTTATTTCATTGGCCTTTTGAGCTTTATGTGTAGATTTCACGTTCTCCCGCGGAAAAGAGAGGGAGAGAAGGGAGGAGCTTAAATGGCGCCATAACGTGAGAAAATTCTTCTTGTCATCCAGAGGAAGACTACCCATTTTTGATAATTTCTTCTTTCATCATCATCTCTCTCAATTAGGAATTCTAGCCATGGCTGCACTGCACCAAATCATCTGGGTCTCTTCATAAAGGTACCATGATTATGTTAATCATCTTTAGCTACGATATGCTGTCGTTGATTACATTCCCCATGTTATGTCAGTGAGCATTTTAATTATTTTTCTACACAAGAATGCGGAATTGGGGTGTTCTTGTGTTGGTATCTAATTTCTATTCCTTGTCCCCGAATTTGGAAATTGATCTAATTGTCCACTATCTACCGGTATGATCTAGACGAAGATTGCATTGCTCATTTATTGAATTTAAGAAGGATAATAAAGTCAGGAAGATTTAGATATCAAGAACAAGTCGAATCTAAGTTATCTAATATACGATTCCATTTGCACATACATTTCCTGTTTAATAGGACATGATTTCTTTTGCTGTTTTTATTTTTCATTGGGAAAAAGGGTATTTTGTTGAATAACCAAAGGTGTAATAGAATCTGATCATCTACCAACTGGATTTTGAGAATTCCATGATCATACGGTCTAGCAAAGAAGTATTAAGGTGCAAACTTTTATCCCGACATTAGAAAACACATTCCATCCTAGAGAATTTTTTCCCTAAGAATAGCAAAGTAATCTTCAAGGAGTTCCCTTTATGGACGGTTTCTTCAAAACAATGCTTATGTTGCATTTTGTGCAGCTATTGCAGGAGAAAAGGCCTAAATACAATTAGGTTCCACAGATGAAGGAATTATTTTAACTTTGAAAGTATGAAGCGCACTTCAGTTCTTCATAACCATCTATTTCTTGAACTGTTCATGTTACCTAAGATAGTTCCATTGAGGTTAATGTTATTAACTGTAATCAATATGTTAATTTTTATCTTCTCAAAGCAGAGATGCTCTATATTCCCTTTGAAAGAAACCATACATAAATAGAGTAAAACTACCTCCATCTTCACTACTATTGTCTACCCACTTGCTTCGATAGCTTTTGTTTAAGGAACTTGTACTTCCATTATTGAATTATTTCTCGTGCAGAAAGTAAACCATGACTCATTTTTGACATAAAATTATCTAAAACAATTGGAGGCATGTATTCTAATTAATTCAACAAATGAATATTTAAAATTAGTCTTTGAGATTGCTAATATTGATTTTACAATTTGCATCAGGTTTGGCATTCAAGAAGCTCGAGCATCAATTCTTACTAGGCATTTTTTTCATATCAGATGGGAAAGGATCTACAACACCAACCCTCGAGCATATCTTTTCAAAATAACAGTCCAGGATGTATGTGGAATATACTTCATCATATTAACAACCATAGGTGGTATCATGCCAGGAAAAGGCTTGCTAATAAGAGTTATGACAGGGGAAAACATGCTACTGGTGGGGAATTTCATTGTTTTCTTCTACTGAATATTTGCTTTCAGTTTGGCAAACTGTGATAGTACGATTCTGATTCTGATTATCTTCGACTAAAATAACTTAATTCCTTTATGAAGTGGTTAGAGATTCCGGGGGCAGCACAACTACATTGGGTGCTGGTGAGATGCAAGAAAATCTTGATGCTACAGTAAACATTTCATCTGTATGTTTAAATTCTTTATTGTTTAGTTTTGATTATTCTTTGTTATCTTCCTCTATAGCAAGATTTGTTCTCTGTTTTTGAAGTCATTTTTGTCAAAATCTGTTTTCCTGGAGAATGTAGCTCAAAATGCTAAGATAAAGACAAAAAAAAAAATTCTTGATTTTAGTTGAAAAGGTGATTAATATTTTTTTTTGTCAAATTTGTAATAGGGTGAAGTGAATTTGACAGAGTCTAGCTCAGTACACAAAAGCTCAACGAAATCTCGAATAAAGGCCTTGATAACTGAACAGGTTAAAAGAAGGGGTCGACATCGCCGGAGTTCTTCTGACCCTATTCGAAAGCAACTGGGACGAACTACTTCCATTCATCATCTAGAAATTTCTGATGTCGACCCATCTGCCGAGATTGCTTTACATGGTGAGATAGTGGGAAATAAAGATATTGCTGGTTCATCGGACCCTTTCATGGAAAAGGTCAGTGATAATAAGCAGCGGAGGCAACTGGTTGGGAATCATAATCTCCTCCAGGGAAAGTTGATGTATGAAATGAGGCCTAGTAAATATGCTTCGGCCCAAGAGTCGAAATTATTTCTAGATGCTTTGGATTTACTTAACATGAGAGAAGAGTTGTTCATGAAAATTTTACAAGATCCAAATTGTTCATTCGCAAATCAGTTACATGGTAGGCGGAGGTCAAGTTTAAGGTTTGGACTAACCAAATCTGTGTCATTTCCCATGGCTGGTTCATCAGGGAGAATAAATGATAAGCCCAATTTTATACCAGAAGAGGAAGATAATAAAACATCCGCAAAAGATTTCAACAAGCATTTGTTGACATCAAGAGGTGCATTTGTGGGAGGTGGTATAGCTGAAAATGTTCCTCCTAGTTCTGCACGTGCCCTCAAGAAGCGCCATGAGAATAAAGTTGTCATTAAGCGTTTCAAGAATCTTAGAGAAAAGCTAAAACATGCAATCTGGGAGAGCAAAAATGAGAAACAACGAATCATAATGGATGCAGTCCTTCATAAAGTTCCTTATGGTCGGAGAGTTTCCAAGGAAGCAAAGGAGGATACTCACATGCATAACGGGCCAGTCACAGACAAATCTAATAAATACAGTCAGGGAAGTGATCAATTTGGTTCTGGTGATGGCAAGAGTGGCCTGAAAGATATCAAGAGAACATCATCATTTAATGAATCATTAGATAGATATAGGCGATTACTGGAGACCAGTTTCGGCAGAGAAGAAAAACACCACATATCTGAAGAATCAAGGTTGAGAACAAGAACATCTTCACCTGTTGGGACAAGTCACGCTAGTCTGGCTAGGATTCTCTCACTTCCTGATCTCAGTTCCTACTCTTATTTTCCTAGCGAAGAATCTCCCAGTGCTAGTTCTTTAAATGCACGGCTTGATAATTCTGCAGGGAACATATTGATAGTAAGTAATCAGCATGGTGAACAAAGATCTTTAGTTCGAGATTTGAAGAGTAAAATTCAACCAGAAGCTGTTTCAGAAAGTGGAAATCAAGAATACTTATCAGAAGTTATTGAGACATTTGATGACAATGGTAATTTGGGAACAACGAAGAAATCATCCTCCCATGATGTCAATTTTGAGCACAGCCTAAGTTCTTCTCAGGTGGAAAAACTAAATTCAGTTTTTGAGCACAAATCACACTATCCGGAGGATGAAATTGTCCCCTATCATCCCATGTCAATAACAAAAGGTTACTTCTCTTTAAGCTCTGTTTGTTTCAGCAAAAAAGGTTTTAAAATTATGACTATTGTAGAGGAAAATGAACTAATTCATCACATAATATTTTTCCTTTTAAAAATACTAGTTAGGCAATTGTGACAAAAATATTTAATAAGCATACATGTCAACTGGTTGAATATCAATCTTCATGGAGTTGAAGAAAATGCGTGTGTGGGTTTGTATGCACTACTCCAGATGGATAATACTTATTTACATCACATGAACACACGAGGTTATTTGCATGAGTGCTACTCAGATAATTGTCATAGCGCATTATTATTGTTAGTCCGGAAATAATTTAGAATCTAAATTCCATTTGCTAATTAGGAAGGGGGGGAGGGGGGGGGGGGGGTTAGGGAAAAAAATTGCTTCAGCGGGGGGAAGGGAAAAAAAACACAACAATTGTCAAACACTTAAAACTTCTATTGAATATTGTTTGGGCTCAAAGTACCTAACTACCCACATAGACACCCCAAAATTGGTAATGCTCATGTACTTCTGTCATAGAAAAATGAGAGACAATATATGTTACAATAATCCTATAGGAAGAAATTTAAGAAAATGAAGAATTGATAATATGGGAGATCTTCAAAGTGTTAAAGGTCCCTAGCCTTACTTTTATTGGCAGACGTTAGATTAGTCTGTACTTTGTCTTTGATCATCACATTGTAGTAGAAATGCGATTNTAGGAAATAATAGTTATTTGACAAAATTCTTTCATGCTGTACATTTTGTAATGGATATGATTGTAGAAACTAATGGTCTAAAATGAAAAATTCTTGGATTGAGTATGTGTACCAAGAATCTTGGATATAAACCTCTTGGAGTTTTAGGTTGTGTATTATGGGGAATTCCCCTTTTTTAACAATTTTTATAAGTAATAAAAGTCAAATTTTCATTTTATGGGAAGTTAAGCACCCTCTTTTAATTTTGTCTTCTTTATTAATACTTTGTAAGCATCCTCTTTAATGTTCATCAACTGTCCATTTAATTATCTATGGAGGAAATTTCTGCAAAAATAAATATGAACATTAAAGAGGACGTGATTTTCCGGGTTCGGGATAAGACTATGCCGTTGGAAATGGGAAATTCAATTAGTCATCAGAACTTTCTATAAATATAATATTTTCAATCTTTCGAACAAAGAAGCCCGTCTAGCTCAGTTGGTAGAGCGCAAGGCTCTTAACCTTGTGGTCGTGGGTTCGAGCCCCACGGTGGGCGTTACATTTTTCCTATTTTTTGGAATATACGTCCCAAGTGCTAGAGCTTTTCTTTCAAGAATGTCTTAATGATCTCATTATCCTTATACAGTTTGCCTTGTTAAATGTGCCAAGGATACTTCTTCTTGACATTTCTTTTAGTTTCTAGAATTTTGTGTAATCAGTAATAAAAAAAAAAAAAAGAAGTTAATTAAGCTAATGGTTGCTGAAAGTTTGGAATAAAAACGTTACTGGTCATTAAAGTATTTTTAAAGAGTATATTTTATCATTTGAGAATATCTATATATTTAGGGAGTTAAAACTTTAAAGTGTTTTAACAAGTATTTTATATTTAATACTTAATTTTCCTATTCCCCAAAAAATATTTATGGTTTTCTATATTTTTTATTTTAACTAGTTTCTCTTTAAATTATTTTATTATTTTCCTACGTTAAAAATTATAACACTTTGAATGCATTTAATTATAGGGAGTAAGTGAGTCCCCCTCCATGTGCAGGGAATGGACACTCATATGAATACCACATTTTGTACAAATAGCATATTCCGTTATTTATTATATCAAGTCAGCAAAATTTGTTTCAAAAATGCGTAAGTTCACAATACATCAAATCTAAAATTTGACCAATATTAAATTTGTATTACGTACCCTCATTTGAGCGTGTTTAGCTCCCCAATTCCTAACTCCCCGATTTTGCGGACTTTACATAATAAATAACACCATTGAGTGGTACGTTGGTACTTAACAACTCTACGTAGTATATAACATTTGGTTGTGGATGGGTTAGGGTGGCTGGGTGGGGTGGAAAGTGGGGTTGAGACGAAAGCACTTTTTCCGTTTCTTATTTAGTGCTTATTTGGTGGCAATTTTAAGCCAATTAAAATCAATTTTTTAACTGTTATATTTCATTATTCTAGTCGTCATTTTTGAATTCTTCTCTCAAGAATAGGATCCATTTTATCTCTAACGGTTAAAAAATCAATTCTCAAAATCTCTACCAAACAATCTATTAATTACTTCAATTATTTTACGTTAAATTGGAATAGACAATTTTACCCTCACCTAATTGGTCAAAAAAGGTCAGATTTATTTTTTTAGGTCAACTAACAATCAAAGTAACAGTTTCCATCCATTTGGACCATAGGTGTTAATATTTGAAAGGTTTGGTACCGTGGGTGCTAAAAAGTAAAAGGTTTGGATCAAATCTGTAAAAAGTGAAATGTTTGGGACCGCAGTTTCAATTTTTCCTTAAATTTATTCTCAATATATTTGATAACAAACAAGGACTTTTGGACTGGAGTAATGCTATTCGTAGTCGTTCATTGCGATAGTCGTCCTATATGGCATACACATGACAGGTGATTATTAGATAAATTAATGTGATAGATTTTTTATTCATTAATGCATCAAATAACCACCTACCATGTGTATGTCACGTAGAGAGACTGCCGCAGTGAGCGACTGTAAATAACATTATTTTTTGGACTATGTTGGTTAAATTGGTCCACTGATACAATGCAAACAAATAATTTATAGACATTAATTTTAGTGTACTGTGAATTTCATAAAGTTGTTACAAATGAATTAGAAGAACCACAAAAAGAGGTAGAAAGTGAATTTTGCTCATTGGCCACATAAAAAGTGATTCCACATCCACTTCAAACGGAGCAAGTTAATTCATGCCCCACCTCAATGTGGGTTCTTCAGCCTTTATTCTCTTATTTAGTCTTCGTATGCAATTTGATTTGTCACTTCAATTGGTTTGAAAAGGAGAAATTTTGTAGGTCTATGGCAATCAACAACCCATGTGAAGGCTGGAAAAGGGACTGTTTTTCGGATTTTATTTATTTATTATGTATTGAGTGGCATAGTGCTTTATGGAACTATATAATAATAATAATAATAATAATAATAAAGGTTGAACCCCAATCTTGAGGGTCCCCACCGTCCCGTCCATAGAGCTTTGTGAGCGAGGTAAATTACGGGATGTGCCCCAACAGGTCAGGGAATAAGAAATGCCTGTACACTGCACTTACAAGAAGTCCAATTCCATGTCTCAAGAATCAAATCTCCACACTGCGACTGCCAGCAAAGCGTGAGATAATCTCACTCATGTCCTTTGCACCACTGAACTATGTCCCGAGATA